TGGCCTCACGATGTTGCCAGATGTAAAGTCGCTGTCGATGTCAGATGCTGTTGAAACTGAAGAGACTGCAATCGAGAAGGCAGAAAAACAGGAATGGCAAACTGGATGGGTTTAGTTTGTTTTTATGACTATATGTTTCTTTGTAGTTTTACAGGGGTATGAGAGGATTTTCATGTCAGTTTGTTTGTCATCTTTGCTTTCGAAAGTTCAAGTTGTACTCACTGGACATGCCTAGGCAAGCACGCTTGGCTTCACTGCAGGCCAAGCTGGAATCAGACCAACGCTTGTTGCGGCAGGTAAATCAGGGCTACACGGTCTTGAATGACTGCTTGGATTGGATTTCTACACAGAAAAAATTGAAGATTGCCAAGAGGGCCCGCGACGTGGTCCAAGAACATCAAGATTACTACCTGCCGATCCTGGAGATAGACGATTACACCAATTTGCCTGGTGCCCTGCAGTCATTGATATCTAGCCTCCCAAAGGTGCCACAAAGCACATCATTGGCTTTGCATGAAGGCATGAAGGCAGAACCCAAGAACTTGATCGCTTTTGTTCTGGACTTCAACGTTCCAGGTGTCACTTGGCATAAGTTGATTCTTTTTGTGATGGGATTGATGGTGCACCTCAAAGTGGCTTTCAGGTTGTGTTCATGGATTTCAGCAAATGTGGCTCCAGGCTCGCAATTCGCTTCTGCAGCCAAAGCTGGTTTCTGGTCTGGCAAATGCCTGCAGGACTCAAGGCTTGGCCCTATGCTAAGTTTGTTGGCTGAAGGATTTTGCTGCAAGCTTCTGCTAACAGTGTGATTCTGTAAGATTCTAGCAATAGTGTGATTGATTGCCATTGCTTTGCAGGCACCAGGAACACCATCGTCTTGGCAGTGATGGCCAACCGTCCCAAAGAGGACTCCGAGACAGATCCTCTTGAGGATGAAATTGAGTTCTGTCGTACTATGCGTGCTGCAGGTTTCCTGGTCCAGATCCCCTGGCAAATGCCTCTTACACAGCCTGGTGAGGAGTTGCTTGACTTGCGAAATGTTCATGTGTTGCAGGATGTGTTGTTCCAAATGTGCTATTCCAGATGTGTGTGTCATTGGGTCAGTCAGTGAGTCCGAGGTCCTCCCATTGTTCGCAATGGGACTTCCATGCCCGTGGCCGATTGATGTGCTGGTGTGAGAATGTCAAAGAGGTGGACAACCATTGTCTGCAGGCATCTGAACTAACAAGAACAGGTAAGGTGCCGGAGGCAACCTTGAACACAGAGATCGTTGCAATACAGTCAGTCGAGGAGACGGAAAAATTCGACCAAATGCGGGTGAATGCAGCTACACGAAGTGCGCAGAAAGGAGGTGAAGTGTGGAGCGTTCTGTTCAAAAGCCTGTTCACAAATTCGAAGCTGCTATCACCACATGCTCGACCTTTGCTGTCTCCTGGCGATCAATGTATCCTCATTGACATGCACCTGCATTCAGGCGACCACGCGTTGGGTGCCTGCGTGATGATGGACAACATGGTGCAAGGGGTGACTTGCCGCAACGTCATGGTGAAGATGAAAGACAAGAAAAGTCACGCAGCAGTCCAGTGGACTTCGAAGAGGCTGGGTTCTTTCCTGTGTGGTAAGTGGCTCCGGCACGAATGCAAGCTCATGGGGAAAGATGGCAGCATAATTCCACCATTGGAGACAGAGGTCACAGTTACTTGGATGTTGTAATTCAACCTTTCACACTGTTTCACGCAGAAAGGGCTGTCCATTTAGTCGTTTCTTTTGGCATAATATATCTTCAACTGACACCATCATCTTCAACTGACATCTGTTTCAACTGGCAGTTGTTTTAATTTCAAGCGCTATCACTTTGCAGCTGCCTGAGGTTCTTGATGAAACTGACAAGAGCTACCTTCGGACTGCTGGAGCATGGGAGGCGTATGAGGGGGCCCGGAGTTGGGAGTCGAAGCTCAAAGCTTGTTCCATCTCCGGCGCCCAAGTCAAGATCATGCCCAGTATCCTTGCAGAATTTGCGACGGCTCCACCGAGTGTGAAGGATCTCCTCGCACAGACTGAGAAGAAGCACAACGATCAGTATGCAGCAATCCTTCAAGGACGCCTACTTGAACAGTCATCATCAAATGCCCCAATCTCTGACCCAAGGCCTGCGCCAACAAATGAGGACACAGGAGCAACTCAAGCCATTGAACTCCCTGGGCCAGAGAATGAGACCGTGCTGCGGGGGCAAATCAAGGTTGCAGCGGATGTCAAGTCGTTTGACATGAGGAGCTTGAACGTGATTGTGGATGAGCAGGGCCATGCGTGGTTGCTTTTGGGGGCCAAGGAACAAGGGCAGATCATCAAGAAAGGATCAAAGTTGGCCGGGCTTGGTGCAGGAAAAGTCGTGAAGCTCGATGACAGCAATTCTGCAGCAGCAGTGCACGTCACTTTCCCACAGCAGGACAAAACACTTGTCGAGGCAGTGTTGTCAGGTGATGGGAACGAAGACAATGACGCCAAAGTCAAGAAGGGCAGCTTCTATGTTGTTGCCAAGGAAGCGCTCAAGGCGCAGCCAGCTGAGAAGCTTTTTGTAACTGGCCATGACATCACAATCCGACCAGTGGGTACAGAGGGCCAGTCGCACGGGTTTGACATCAAGCGTTCAGAGAATTGGGGCTTTGTGATGAAGGGCAAGGAGGTCACATCGTATGTACCAGGCAACGCTGCAAGGCTGATTGTCCAGCACAAGGTGCAGCTTCACTCTTCCGTTGGGTGGGTATGGCGCTACGTGTTCGACAAGGTGCATGTGAAGCTCACAGCCAAAAAACCGTTTTTGGTCACGGTCGAAGATGTGAAGATGACGCCAGGAAAGCCGGTCAAGATCACACAGTCAACTTAGTTGTGATGCCAGCCTGTAGATGCCAGTTCCCTGTTGCCAGTTGTTTTTGATTTGGGCCAGTCGCTACCATTCTTGGCTGGCCTTGACTTGTTGCCTGTATCATAGCCTGGGGCCTGGCTGATGTTTCATGTTGAATTGTTTTCCTACAGCTCTTCAAGCTTGCTTGTAATTCTGTCAGTGCCAGGGCATTCCAGGCTGCGCAGCGTTTTTTGACTTGGCTCCAGGTGCATTGTTTGACTGGGCTGCTACTGTCAGAGAAGAAAATTGAAGAAAGTCAGTGGGTGGTGTTTGCTTGAATTCTGCAAGTTTTCGTGTTTGAGATTTGCCAACCCCCTGCTGCAGTTTCTTTCAGCTTCCCCTGACCAATGGCCAAACAGTTTCATTGAGTTCTGAAAGTTTTCATGTCTGAGGCCAAGTCATCACAACTGGTCTTTCATAGCCAGGCGCGGATTGACAACTGACAAGCCAACTGACAACTGTCAATGAGGAATGGGTGATAAGATGTGATAAGTTCACAGTCTTCCAACTGACATGTCTGAAAGTTTTTTCCTCACCTGAATTCAGCTCTTTATTTGCCGGTGCCAAGTAGACAACTGACAACTGACAGCTTATCAACAGAGAACTCGTGCTAGGGCCTAAATACTAAATATCGCTGATAACCAAGTTGCAACCATGTTCTGAGAGCTAGTGAGTTTGTGGCCTAGTGCGCTAGTGAGCAGTTCAAAGACACAGCAACACAGCCATGACCATGATGACATTCCAATGGCTGATGGTGGCTCATCAACAGAAACAGAAGATGCTGGTCACTACTGTGCTTCAGCTCCAAGGAAAAGGAAGAAACCGGGCTGTAAGAAAGACAGCTCAAAGGTAAAGCAGAAGACCACAGGTGAGGATGCCAGATGGCCCAGTTTCTTGGTGAAGTTTGAAGGCAAGATCGCCAGTTGCAGGAGGTCTGGAAGTGGATGCTGTTTTTGCCGTCATCAGTGTTTGGTAAGAGCTGAGCCGCTTTTGGATGAAATCAAATCCTGGAGAGAAAATTTGTTGTCAGTTGCGCCTGAAGTTGCTGACCGTGAACTTTTGTGGATCTTCCAGTCATCTCAAACAGCAGCTGCTGAACGTCAAGCAAAGCAAGTCAAGCAGAACAGGACTGCACAGGTTCTTGATTATGAAGAAGAAGGCTCAACTACTGAGACAGAAAATGATGAAGAAACACAAGATCAGAAGTCAGTGGCAGCTTCTACCAACACATCATCTCCAAGTGCTGAGAGTGATGGGGAGAGTTCCGATGTCCTTGACATGTCTGAGCCTGCTGCTTCTTCGAGCAAACCAATGCCGCTGTCAAGAAATCATTATGCCCAAAGGTTTGGAGCAAAACAGCCAACTGTCAAGTTGAACACATTTGTGAAAGGTGCTGACAAATCAACTGTGATCTGTCAGCAAGCTGCTGTTTGGCTTCTTGGTGTTGGCAAACCACGGATTCAGCGGGCAGCCTGATCTAAATTAAATACCAAGCAAGTGTTGTTCTTTCAAATCTTGTTTTGTTTTACTTGATGCTTTGCTTTCTAGCGCATGCTGTTTTGAAACCTGTCTCTGAGGTTTTGCACGGCCTGCCAGATCACCGCAAGAGGCAATTCAGAGTGGCCAAGCAGGACACTGCAGCCTTTGATCTATGCACCAGATTTTTGCAGCTTCGATATCACAATGAAGGTGAACGCCTGCCTGACAAGTTTGTTTTTCAAGGTGCTTTGAAAGACAGGTCTTTGATGATTGGGTCAACTGCTGATCGTCTGCAAAAGCTGGTGGCAGGAGACAGTGATGAGTTGTCAGATGACAGTCAATTATCGAAAGATGAACTGGATGAGATAGATGACAGAGCTTTGAGTGCGATGGCAATCCAGTCCCTGGTCATGAGTGCGCCTTTTCACCAAAGTTTGACCGGGCCTGGCGTAGCTCCAGGCCCCCGCCGTTGGCTTGGAGTGATGAAGCCAATCAACATGTTTGAGATGCTTAGGCTTTGGTGTGCACAGGCCAACTTCCAAGCGCCAAGTTTTACTACATTCTTGCGAGCCCTGAAAGCAGCACGGCCGTGGCTGTCATTCCGCAAAAGTGCGGGGCAGCATGGGCTTTGCGATTCGTGTTTGCATTACAAGAGGGAACTCAAGAAACAACTCCACCTGGCAGTCCGCCACCAGCTGCTCGAAGAGTACTCATCTCATTTATTGTTGAATTGGAGAGACCGGGCTGCAGATGGTGCATGGCATGGTCAATGTGTCCAAACCCGTCAAATGCTCCTTGCAGGCAGATCAAGTTTACAGTTGTTGGAGCAATCAGTACTGCTACTGAGATCTGACGGCCTTGACCAGGCCAAACATAAGGTCCCAAGAACATTGATCCACTCCAAGAGCTTTGAAGAGATTATCAGACCTGCGATGCACTGCCAGATGATTTGGGCTCATTGTTGGGGATTCCAATTCGCGATTTCAGACCCGGATGTCAGAAAAGACAGTTGTACCCACATGGAGGTGGTTGCCAGATGCCTGTCGAAGATTGTGGATGCCAGTGGCGCGTTGCCTCGTCAGTTGTATGTTGTGCTTGACAACGCAAGCAAAGACAACAAGAATGGAAAGATGCTTTGCTTCTGGATCAAGTTGTGTTTGATGAGAGTTTTTGAATCAATATACGTTGCCTTCCCCATCAAGGGGCACACCCACGGGCCTCTTGACGGGGTGGGCGGGCACGCAGTCACTCGTTGCTCCACCCAGACTTTTGACTCGGCTGCTGAGCTGATCTCTGTCTATCAGACATTTTTGGACCAAGCTGAATTCGAACAAGGTACAGTATTCAAGGAAGCATACAAACAGGATACCTCGGCAGATTGGTTGGGTTGGCTTGGCGACATCAATCTCACGTTCAAAGTACTGACCGGCCCAAAAGCTCCACACGGGTTTCGAATCTTGTGGAGAAAGGCACTGACAGCGGCGGAGAACACAATGTCCCACAAGTCGCTCAACGCATTGAAGAGCAATGATCCAAATGACTTGATGCTAGCAGTTCACCAGCACATGTCAGATGCCAGACCTTATCAGGTGGTGATGTTGATGCCAGTTGCACAGGTACAAAGGGTAATGCACAGCTTGACTATTCAGCCCAGTGGCCAGCGCAGCCGAAAATCAATCAGCTGGGAGGATCGCAAGCAAGTACGGGCGAAGGCTATCACTGGGTGCGAGAAAGGTGCAATCTCTGAAGTCGCTCGTGACTTTCTAGTTGGGTGGATTGAGGGGACCCTCAGACGAGAGCCTCGGCCAGCTGAGTACTCATGCCTGAAGCACCGGTTTGACGCAATGTCAACTGTTGGGGATATGCCACGAAATCCACACCATCATGCGTGCCCTCGCCCAATCACTGTTATGCACACCGCAAATGGTGAAGATCTTGAAGTGCCTCTGCCTTGATTGGTTTCATGTTTGTTGTATGTTTCTTCAGTTTGTGTTTTGAGGCTGTATCATGTTTGCAATTTAATGTTCATAAAGCATGTTTTCAAGCTATAAGGTTTTCAAGTTCGTTATATCATGTGTCAAGTCAGAATGTTTCCTGTGTGCCAGGTGCCAAATGATGACGAGGATGAAAACCAAGAGCTTCAGGATGATGACGTTTGTGTCATCGCAGATGAAAGACAGGAGAACTTGCGTGGGTAGAAACAATAGTTTGTGCCTAATAGTTTCTGAACAGTCAGTGAGAGTTCTACGCTGGGTTTTGCATTTTTTGTTGAGACTGATGAAACATGTGAATCTTTGTTACTTTTGAGACACGCATGCATTCTCAACGCGGCCCAAACCTGGACAGCTGTTGGCGGTTTCTTTCGCTCAGTAGTCGTGAGTCGTGACAGTCAGTTGGCTGTGTCCCATGGCTTGCTCAACTCAAAGTCCTTTACCACCTGGACGCGTTGAAGTTGGTGTTGAAGTTGAATACCCGTTGCCAGTTGGACCTGTTCTGGTGAATTCCTGGTCTCCGAAACCACTGGAGTTGAAGTTGTCAAACTACTTGGTGCTTGAGCACCCACTACCTCCATTGAATAGCGCTTCAACAATGTTGAAGATGGAGGATCCGCCAGACTTTGATTGACCAGGGATTGCAACATGATGTCCCAGAAGAAATTTTGGCCCTTTGCCCAATTCCGATCTTGCATGAACGCAAAAGAAGCTGGGAAAAGAGGGTGGCTATTTTTCGTGAAGAATTGCGGAAGAACCTTTGAAACCCATTTAGTTTGTGCTTGCAAGAAGCGCAGACCTTTGTCTAGTATTAACTAGTGGTTGCTGTCACTCCAACCATTATAGCAACTGCCGGGAGTCGCTTGGCATTGGATCAAAAGCAGCGTTGGTGTTCTGTTTTTTGGTTTCAACTCAGGTCATGCGTTTAATGCGTGATGTCTCCTGCACTGTGTGGAGAACTGCCAAAGTCTGTGGTAAATGTTGAGCGCAACTTGTGTTTGCATAATGCCATTGTTTGTTTGTGAAGGCGGTTGCCCATGTCTCATTCATTGAGGCCAGTATTTGCTTGCATTTTTGACTGGCTAAAGACTGGTCATGTGCGTGTGATGTTTTTTTGCAGTTGCACATGTCCAATGCCGGTGTCAGTTTACATGTTGTTTTGTGTCAACTGCGTCTGTCTGGCCAGGTTTGAACATCATCAACTAGAATGCAAGTGAGTGGCACTGGATGGATGGTTGTTTGTCTTTCAGTGTAAACTTCAACTGACAACCTCAACTGACAACTGACAACTTCAACTGACAATAGCAGAACACACAATGTAGAATTCCAAATCACAGAACTTGGTAACCATACCAGGGAGATGGAGAACTATGAAGAATATAATGACAGATGTCAAGTGATAAACACATAGTACTATTAAACACCTTCAGAAAAA